ATATATATGTTTATTGTACATATATACACATACATATATACATTTAGAAATAATTTAAAAATTATTTATAAAATATATATGTAAATTTAAATATATTTAAATTTTTATGATTATTGTATTTATATATGTATACAATGTAGAATATATTTGTTAACATTTATTTAAGCATTAATTTGTTGTTATGAATCTTTTGAAAGGAACTATAGTTACACGTTGTTAATATTTCTTTTCTATCTTTTTATTAAGTTTAAAATTTAATTTTTTGTAATTACTTAACTTCCATCATTAAATTATTTATTATTGTGCTATATTTATAATATTTTATAAATATTCTTGTTATTTTAAATTTGTATCAATTAAATTACTTGTAAATTACTCTGAATTGTAGGATTTTTTAAAATATTTATGAAATTTTATAAATTTATTATATCTTATCGATTAATCAACTATATATTTTCCAAGTGTCAACAATATTAAACAATATTAAAATTTTGTTATATATTATTTTTGAATAAAACATATCAAAAATAATATACTTTATGAAATATGATAATTTATCAAATTATTTTTTCTTATATATTTAAGAAAAATAATTAAAAGTTGAATAAAACAAATAAGTTAAGCATAAATATATAATTCAATAAATATTATCATTTTCTTACTTAAATATATATTTTTTTACATCTTACTTTTTATAATTGTAAAATATAATTATGATCTTTTTGCAGTTTAATCGATTATGATAGTAAATTGATTAAATCACTAATCAATTTATTCGTTCATTTTCAATTTTCCTTTTTCAATTCTTTCTATTAAAATTAGTTGTATTTTTTATAAATTATGATTAAACTATAGATATTTATATAAGTATAATGTGTACAAATTATAAAATATGTTCGAATATGTATGAAATGCATAAATATCCATAATCTATACAATATTTTATTTTATTTATTATAATTTGATACATATATTATATATTATATACGTATATATATAATTCAACTAAATAATAATAATAATAATAATAATGGAATAAAATTTTTCATCATATAATGTTAAAATGATATGTATATATTTGGAAAACATGAGCAAAGGGAGATTGACTCAAAACAGAAATAGGCTTTTTTTTATTCTATATTTTAATTATTGTTATTTTTTTATATAGAAAGTTTTTATTATATATTGTATGTTTTAGATTAATTATTGCTTATATATTAGTTATAATTCAATAATATTGGTTGCTATGGCTTTGATAAATGTGTCATGGAGTATGCTTATAAATTCACAATGCAATAGTGAAAGGGAATATAAGGGTAACTCGGACTTGACCTAACGTGGGAGAGGGGCGTATATCCGTTCAAATGACTTTCATGTTTGATCAAAACTAAACTATTAGACAATATATATACATTTAAAATGAGCATAATTGATGTGTAAGAATATGTGCTATACGTATATATATATATATATATTTATATTATACATAATATATATTTTTTTTGTATCGTTCGATACGAGATTGATAGAAACAAGCATCAATCAAATTAAATAGAATTGAAACTAACATGTACGCGATGATTTAGCTTCGGTTTAAAAAATGTAACTGCATTTTTTTTAAATACAATTTTACATGTTTTTTCACACAAGCTAATTCTCCAAAAGATAAAGAAATATCATTAATATTTACAAGATATTCTGAAAAATATTAATCGTAGAATTTTTTATTAATATCGCTTTGACAATATTTCTCATTTTTTATCGATCTCTCCTTATCCGTAAAAATAAATAGCGAATCATTCCACCAAATTGTCATTAAAATTTTCCGTGGATGAAGCGATATCTTCGAATTATGAGTAAATTAAATCTTATCTCTATCCAATTATCGAGCAAATCTATTTTATTCATCGTAAAGAATCTATATCTCATCACAAATAATAATTCGATCAAAAAATGGCTGGATTAGTAGATTAGTAATAGTTCATAAAAAAACATGGGGGAATAAAGGAAAAAAAAAAAAAATGAAATGTTTAAAAATTCTACACTTTTCTTCACTCTTTATGATGTTTACGATATTATCCTAATTTATTATTACAAATGATTATTACCAAGTTTACATTCATATAAAATAATTATATAAATATCATTTAAAATTTATACGTATATAAAATTCAAAAAATAAATTGTAAAAATATGTAATTTTAAAACAATTTTTTTTTTGTAAAATATAATTTATTCTCATATCGTTAAAGCAAAAATTATTCAAAAAATATCGTTTGATTAAATTGCAATAATTACTTGCTGTTTATTTTTTGATTTTACAACTTCAATCGTCAATTAATCATAAAGTATATTTACATCTTAATTTTGTCACCTTGATGATATTTCTAATAGTTTATTATTTTATAGTTTATTTTATATATATATAAGTTTCCATAAATTAAGGAATTTATGAAAAATTTAATTATTTTTGCGAAAATTTAATATTTTTTTTAAATATTTTTGGCATCAAAATATTTTTTCCATTTCTTTTTCTTACATAGTATATTTTCTTTCTTTTCATTACATAAAATGTTATATATCAATTACAATTTATTTTTTTTGTTGTATAGCAGAATATTGAAATGGCTTTCAAAAGGTGTATGTACGACTAAATAAGGAAAATGATATCGAGATTGCCTCATGGTCTCAAATGAATCCTGGTCTCGAATCATGTGGCGCAGCAATACTGAACGGTGGCCCGGAACGATTCCAAGGAACAAGTATGCAGGGTAAGTATCGATATAAAGCATGTATATATAAATTCGTACATGTATAAATTTTCTATAAATATTTCCAATTTAACATGCGCATGTTATCGTACACATATCTATATACACAAAATCTTTTGATTAATCTTTTAAGCGTTTGTAATTGAAAATTGAAATGTAATTTTATAATCTTCAATTTTTATTTTATAATATCCCAGATTGCAGTAGAATTGCTTAATCGTTAAGTTACTTTTTTCTCACGTTCTTTAAGATACACAACGCACAGTTTAGGAGTTTCGAATGGTAACAAAAGTGTGACCTCACACCGCATGAAACCTATATACTTTTGTTTATATTTCATTGCAGAGTCGCTTTGTGAGACTCGAAAGACAAATTATTTTTCCGTTGTTCATATAAATTTACGAAACAAGATTTAGAAGATTTTGACGATAAATAAATCAAAAATATATAAAATGAGTGAAAAACGAGGCACAAAAGCATTAGAACTTTGGTGCCGTCGAATAACCGAAGGTTATCCTGATGTAAATGTACAAAATATGACAACTTCTTGGAAGGATGGCCTCGCATTTTGTGCGATGATTCACCATTTCCGGCCTGATCTCATGTAAGTAAAATAGAAGTCAATAATAGTCGTAGATATAACAATGAAAATTTTTTTTAATTCAATTTTCCAAATATCTTGTAATTTTTATTCGAATTATTCGTAATTTCATCGATATTATAATAAAATGTCAAGTACTATGTTATTACGTATTAAAAAGAGTTAATTATTTATAAAATAATATATTTGATCAATTTTAAAGATCTTGATATATCTGATATTAAAATCAATGCTTTAAATAATTTTCTTTATTTGTATACATAACCGTTATTTGATATACGTAAAAATAGTTTCGATATCTTATATGATACTTGTAAAATTTCAGATTTCAGATTAAGATGTTTAATGTTTAACGTTTAAGATTTAATTTTAGTTAAATTTGAATTTTTTTTTTTAGTCGAAGTTTAAGCTTGGAAGATAGATTTATGTGTATTGCAGATAATTTATTGATTTAAAAACAAATTCGATTTCTTTTCTAAACTGAACTTATCACTTATAAAAAAGCATAAAGAATATAAAATAAAAATAATCTATTTTTTATATCGATTACAGTGACTTTGACAATTTAGACAAGAATGACGTGTATGGGAACAATGAATTGGCTTTTAGAGTCGCGGAACAACATCTTGGAATCCCAGCACTTTTGGACGCAGAAGACATGGCTTCCTGTGCTGTACCTGACCGATTATCAATTCTTACTTATCTTTCGCAATTTTATCAGACTTTTAGCGGTAAGTCCCACGGAAATAACAATTAATCTGTTATTACTGTATCCAATTTTCGAGAAAGGATTTAAAATCTATTAAATTCGATGATGACGAATATACGAATAATAATTCAATAGATAATAATATATTTCATTACAATATAGAATTTTTTTATTTATTCTTTTATAGCATGTTATAATAATACGTAATATTTGAACATTGATACTTTTAAAGAGCAGGAGGAGCGGAGCCGATTTTAAATAATGAAAAAAAATCGAACCGATTTTATTTGGAAAAATAAAATCGGTTGGATTATTTATTTTTTAAATAAATAAACTTTTTCAATTTTTTAAATAATAAACAAGTAGCTATCATTAATCATGCATGCTTGGCATCGCGATTATTATTTGCCTAGCACAGCATCTAGATAAAAGCATACAAATGCGATACACTGGTATTATTTCGAATGATATATACGATTCATTATATCGAAAGATAGATATGCGATATACGAGGGAAAAGTATCGGCAAAGTTGAAAAAGAAAATTTTCAAAATTTTTTTCGATCCAATTTGTATCACAGAGAAAACTTATGAAATAGCTGCAGAAAAAGTATGTAACGGTGTAGATCGATAACACAACCCAATCAATCGAATCAATATTTTTCTCTCTTTCAATTTTTATTATTCTCATGCGTGTAAATGAAACATGCCGCTTTTATAAACGTTTAACCGTCTAACTTTTTTCTCCTATATTTGTGATAACGGATATTTATCTTTATTATTTTCAGTTTCATAAATTTTACAATACCAATCGAAATTTAATTTTCACTATTTATATCGATATTCTATCGATTCACTACATTTAAATCGCGTATATCATGCAATATATACAAATATATTTGTACGAGATATATATTATTTTTTTTTATCCTTATAGGTTCATCACCAACACGACATCCAGTGAGTAGAACGACTGAAACCACAGAGGAAAGAATCACGCAAGTGCCTGACTCTCCAAAAGAAAAGGTACAGAAGCCTTTGTTGTACGAAACGTAGAAAATTTTGGATCTTTCCCAAGTTAATTAATTCCAATTAGTTTAAAAGTTGAATTATAGATTTATGAATCCTTGAATCCTTATTGTTACACTTGGAATAATATAGTTTATATTTTTTAACAATAACGACTATGCAAGTATAGGGCATTTATTACATTATACATAGATGAAAGTAATATTTTGTCGAGATAGACATTCTCTTTCGAAAAAAAGAGACAAACAAATTAAATTTACAAAAAGAAAAAAAAAATCTTATTCATCCGAAAAGTCTATTCTTTTGCTCTTCTTTTTTTTTTTTTTTATATATTTCTTGTGTAAAATATGTTTGTATGTTACATGTAATAATCGTTAAAATTTATCGCTAATTTATCATTTATTATTTTTAAGTTAAGTTTTATTTTATTCATTTATCTATATTGTTACTTTAATAAAAAATTTGATATTTTTTTATATCGTTTGATATATTTATATATATATTTAAACTAATTTTAATTCATATTTTTAAAATAGTATTTACATATATTTTCAAATTCTCATGTTCGAACCTCCATTATTTCTTCTTGTTCAATATTAAAAAGTAATGAATATAATTTTGCGACAATAATAAGTTATCTATTTCACGTACAATTTATTCGTATTTTTCTAAAATGAAAAGATAAATTTTATTAATAATAGTAATAAATGTTGTATAAATATATAGCAAAGTAATTTGCATTTATTTAATTTATTTTTAAAATGTCGATAAATGTTGTATTATATTATCAAAACGAATATCATTAGTGAAACCTGGAAGAGTATGTTACATAGTTCATTCGTAATGTTAATAATATGTAATGGTAAAATTGTATTTCCGTAGAACTGAATTATACCACTTTATATTTATTTATGTCATTTCATCATTTATTTTTTTTTAAATTAACCAAACAATGCACAAATTTTAAATTCGAAATAATCGAATTTGACTTTATCATATCGATGCGATGTTCTATTTGTATTATGGGAAAATGTAGCGAAAAGTAATTTTTTAAATTATCCAGAGAGAGAGAGAGAGAGAGAGAGAGAGAGAGAGAGAGAGAGAGGAGAGACGAA